TTTTAGCTTAGTGGTATTCTATGACTTTTTCCCCCCTCTGTTCAGTCTTGTTTTATGTTATATATCTCAGTTCTGGATTTTTTTTTTTTTTTTGATGTGGTTACCATTAAGTTTATGCACAAGGAAGTTTCATCTATGCAGTAGTTCTTTTTATTCTGAATTATCTTATCTCCATTCCTCTTTGCTAATTCAGACCTTTACCCCCCTCCCCTTTTGTATTTTTGTTGTGATAATTTATTCCTGTTTATACTATGAGTTAATTTCCAAGTTGTAGTAGCTATTGTCTTTTCTCTTTTTAAAAATGTTTTTATGTCCTTTAACCTTTATATTATATTAAAATGTGTAATACCTTATTGTGAATAAGGGTTTCAATTTCCTGCTTCTGTCTGTCAGTCATCTTCCTCATAGTTTTGTATCCTTTATATTTGTGTTTCAGGTAGAGTAATCCCTTTCAGCATTTCCTGTAGTGCAGGTCTCATGGTGGCAAATTCCTCAGTTTCTATATGTCTTAAAAAGTCTTTATTTCTCTTTCATATATAAAGGGTAACTTTGTTGGATATATTATTCTTGGTTGGTAATTTCTCTCTTTCAATGATTTGAATATTTGATTCCACTCTCTCCTAGCTTGTAGAATTTCTGCTTTAAAATTCAGTGATAATCTAATGGGATTTCCTTTATAGATTATCATCTTTTTTCCCCTGGGTTGCTTTGATAATTATTTCTTTGTCATTAATTTTGACAATTTTAATATAATGTGTCTCGGAGAAGGCCTTTATGGATTGAGATAATTAGATGTTCTGTTTGCTTCTTGGATTTGAGGATCTAGTTTTTCCTGTGGCTTTGAGAAGTTCTCATGGGTTTGGAATAGCTCTCTCTGTACTCTTGTCCCTCTCTTCTTCCTCTGGTATATCCATTATTTTTATATTGGTCTTTCTGATGGAGTCAGAAAGTTCTCATAGAGTTCTTAACTTTTTATTTTTTTCACTCTCATCTTTCCTTCCATCTGCATCCTTTCTAGATTTTTATCTTTGAAATCATTAATTTTTTCTCCATCTGGTCAGCTCTATTTCCTAAGCTTGCTAATTTATTCTTCATCTCTTTTATTGAGTTCTTCAGCTCCAGAGTTTCTATTTGGTTCTTTTTTAAAGTTTCAGTCTCTTATGTAAGTACTCATTTTGTTCATGAATTTTATTTCTGAGTTCATTAAACTACCTGTCTAAGTTTTCTTGCATCTTGTTGAATGTTTCCAGAATTGCAACCTTGAATTCTCTGTCATTTAAGTTACATATTTCCATGTCTTTAAGTTTATCTTCTGGATATTTTTCATTTTCTTTCTGAGCTATCATGTTACCTTGGTTATTCATGATGTTTATTGGATAATTTCTCTGCCTAGGCATTTTTGGGAATGAACTAGTGTTTGTTTTTAGATTGCTACCTCTTTAGCAGATTCATAAGAAGAGGTCTTTCTCTTATTTTCCAATAGGTGGCGCTGCATTCATTGCAAATGTTTTATTTTCTCTTGCAATGCTCCAGCCTCTTGGATCTCAGTGGGCGGTAGAAGAATGTCTTGTAGTTCCTGGGGAGGTAGGCATCTCTTTTGACCAAGTTGCACCACTCCTATGGCAGAATGTGGTTGGCGATGGGCTTCCAAGGAAGCCTATGAAATCCCAGAGCTACCCCTGCAACCAGGTGCAGTGCTGCAGTGCAGGGGGTGTCCCAGGTACCCCCACTGGGGTCTGCCATGATGGGTGGGGGCAAGAGGAGAAGCAACTTATGGGTATATGGCTTTGTTCTCCTCCCAGTAATGACAACAACCAGACCTCAGCTGCCTCTCTTCTGTATTTCCACTCCTGTCACTGGGATTAACCACAGCATGCGTCCGCCTCTCAGAAACTGTCTCTTCATTTCTCAGGGCTATAGATACTTTGCCCTGTCATCCAACACCTACTGCTACAGTTTCTTCTAGGGCCCACTGCTAGCTCTGGGAGAATGAGGAGAGACAAGCTTTGGAGAGTAGGGGGAGCCAGCCAGGCAGGCTTCGTGGCTTTGTTTTTCTCCTGGGAATGCAGCTGCTAGAACACAGCTGATGCACTTCTGTATTCAGTCTTTGCTCCATCACTGTGTTCACCCATATTACATGCTGATCACTCAGGCAGGAATGCTTGAGGCTACACAGAGGTGCTTGCCCCCTGATTCCTCCCCTCTCCTGAGACCTGCAATGAGCTCTGGGCAGCCGTCTCTGCTCTTCTCCCTTCCATCCTCTCCTGTTCACTCAGATTCACCTACCTTCAGGTGTTCTGTGTGCTTATCTCTCAGGTGTGTTTGTGTGTTGAGCAGGGAATTCTTTGTTGAATTATAGCTGTTCAACTCTTAACTTCAAAAGGAAAGATCAGGGGGACCTCTCACACTGCCATGCCTCTGGCATCACTCTTCTTGGCTATTCTTAAACATTTCCTTTTTTGGATGAATTTTTTAATCAGCCTGACAAATTTCATGTTGGGACTTTGGGGTTGCATTGAAATTATAGATTAAGTAGAGGAGAATTGACATCTTTAAGGTATTGAATCTTCCCATCCAGATACATACTATATAGTAATTTTAATTTCAATAAAGTATATTGTTATGTATATTAGATAATTTTTTCTTCATGTAGATTTAGCATGTTTACTTTAGATTTATTTCTAGCATTGTTTCTGTTTTGAATGGGATGTTTTTCCCTACTACCTTTTCTATTTAATTGTTGCTGGTGTATTGGAAAGCCAGTAATTTGAATATGTTGATTTTGGTTTTGGCTACTTAATTATAATAATAATTAGTAGTTAGTATTCATTTTAATATTTTGTTAGTTTTGATCCACTTGGATTTTCTAGGAAATTGAATCCATAACATTACAAATACAGATTGTTGTCTCTTTCTAATATTTCTTCTGCCTCTTTTTGTCTTGCTTTATTGCATTTGCTAGCACCTCTGGGAAACTGCTAAGTGGTGGCAGCATCAGGAGGCATTTTTGTCATATTTTTGACTTTAGTGGGCCATGTGTCTAATGTTTCACCACATGTGATGTTTTGTAACTTGTTTCTGGTAGATACCAGTTATTAAGAATTCTTTTCATTCCTTCTGGTGCCTTTGAACAGCCCTCAAGTTGTTACTGAAGCTTATTTTCCCTGTTTTACAGAAAGTAATGGAAACTTAGAAAAGTTTGATGACTTGAAATATCCAGATAAAGATGATGATTCTAGCAAGCTCTTAATCTGTTCCTAGAACCTTGCAGGCTGCTGACACCCCTTGGTGCATTTGCTCCCCTGCCTTGCAAGGTGATGTGAATTACTCCAGGATATTTAGAGGTCTTCGTAGGCTTCTGCAGCTGTGCAGTCATTAGGTCCTCATATCAGAGAAGGACACTGAGTCTTTAGAGAGGAGAAATACCTACATATGGTAGTACCTGACACTTGGCCTCCAGCTCAAAGTTATTCCAATACGCCCTGCTGCTCCTCAGCATGTACATAGATGTATATGTTCTAGATGAGCTTTATTTTTGAATGTCATTTATTTTTAGACCTCAGAGGGAAATGGTTGGGTCAATTGTACTTCTCATTTTTTTGGCACCTTACACCTTATCATAACCTTTGAAAGGCTCTCTCTTGTTTTATTTATGTATTTTATTCCCTTTCCCTATTGCCATCCCTTTGCCCCACCATAGGCAACAGTTCTCTTCTGTTTAATTTGTGGATTTTTTTCTTTTTATGTGTTCTTAAAAAGCGCGTATTGTTATTTTGTATGTAATATTTTAAATTTGTATAATGGATCTCACTTGGTTTCTTCCTATTCCCCCTCAGCATTCCATTCCATGCTGCTGCATGCTGCTGGATATACATATGTTCAGCTTTATGTTGTGTGGACATCTTGTCTTTTGTTTCTGACACCTATGGAGTCCTACATGGAAGATTTCTCCAAATTCTCATCTACTCCTCCAGTATGAATTTCCAGATTGCCTCTAATCCCCTCTCATAATAATGCTCAAGTGCACATCCTTGTACCTATTGCATTATGGGCCTGGCTGGAGATCTCTCTGGAATGTACTCCCAGGAGTGGAACCACCAGGTCCTAGTTGATGTGCATACTTAACTGTGTAAGTGGTGGCAGATCGCCCTCCAAAATGGCTGCCAATCCCCACTGCCACCCCCGGAGCATATTTATTCTTCTTTCTGATTTTTTCAGTTTAATGGGTATTTTATGTTGGGGGTTTTTTCCTTATTAATTTTCAGGAGGTTATTATATTTTCTCAATAGCAATTCTTTGTCAGTTTTAGACATTCCAAAAATGTCACCCGACCCGTCAGCAGTCTATTATATGTCTTTATTATACAGAGATTTTTAATTTTGAGGCAGTCAGATTCATCCATTTCTTAGTGTACAGTTTGTGCCTTTGAGTTTTAAGATGTTCTCCCTGGTCCTGATTCCTTCCACCCTCCTAAGTCACAGATTTTTTTCCCATTAAGTTTCTTCTGTGGATTTTCCTGAGTTTTAAGCTTCCCTTGCTGCTGCTGTTGCTTTTTTATGTCTTGTCCTGTCTTGGCGTCTTAGGTTGGGTCCCTTAGAAGCAAATCCTGAGTTGGGGTCCTTGTGCACATGATGGTTGGGGGAGGTGCAGGGAAGGAGCCAGACAATGCTCCTGATCCCACAGGGAACTCTGGAGTGTGAGTGGCCCCACAGAGCTGTCACTTTTGTACTCCCATGCTACTCACTGACTGGCTGTGCTTTTCCCAGGCCCCTCTCCCATGGGGCCACCTTAACCTCTTAGGAAGTTCTCCAGGAGGGCTTAAAGCTGTGAGCTGCTGGCAGCCAACGTGCGGAGCAGCCGGAGTGAGTGAGTGAGTTACCTGCCCAGTAACAGGGATCTGGGTAGGCACCAGTAGCATCTACTGTACTTGTTGACCCTAGACACCTTAGACCTGCATGCCTCCTCTAGGGTGGTGACTCTGCCCATGTTTTTCCTCACAGTCTCCACAAAGGACCTGATCGAGACATGCTGCGCAGCTGGACAGCAGTGGGCCATTGACAATGATGAATGCCTGGAAATCCCTGAAAGCGGTGCTGAGGGCGACATCTGCAGGTAGGGTGGGTACCCTGGAGCAGGCAGACCTGCCCATTCCCCTTCTCCAGATCCCTGCTTGCCTCAGGACCCAGGCCCTGGCAAGGCAAGGTGAGCACATGCTTCACCTGCTTCCAGGTGCATAAGGGTGATTAGATGTGGCAGCTTGGGCCAGCTGGTGAGGCTTTCTGCAGGTGTGGAAAGCTCAAGAGTGGTCTCCAAAGTAAACTAGCCGCATATATTCATAGCTGGCCTAATGCGCATAATAAGAGGAGTGTACAGTTTGGAGCAAGTGTTAAAAGACCATTATCACCTAGGATTAATTGGGTGCTTTTCTTACCACACATTGGAGTTGCTGCTAGGCAGTGCTCAGCCCGTATAGGTTTTCCTCTCTCAGCTTTGAGCTGAGGTCCTCAGCCCTCTTTCTTTCCCCACTTTGCTAACTTGGGGTCTCCAAAAGGCTAGCCTCTCATTGTCCTCTTCTGCTGCCTGTGCTGATTGTTTCTTCTGACTTTGGTGTCTCAGCAAAGGAATGATTTATAGTCATGTCCTCCATGTTTCAGGCCCAGAAGACATATTGATCAGCCATTAATCACTCCTTTTTTCCAATGATACTGTCTTTTCCAATCTACTCATTTTTCCAGACAAGGAAGACAAGGTTCAGAGAGGTGATGTGATTCACCCAAAGCTACACAGCCCATTGAGATCATGGCCAGATTAGACTCCACGTTTCCTAATGTCCAGCCCACCATGCCTCCTTTAGAAACATTTAAATTTTAACTTTGTTTTTTTCCTTTCCTTTTTGTTGTCCCATCAATTTGGGGCTATTTAGGAGTTAGAGTGTGCACCATTCAGACTCTTGGAGTTTTGAGTGAAGCAGCCCTAGGGCGGGCTTACATCCCTCTCATGATGGGAAACTCACTACTTCACGGACAGCCAATTCTATCACTGGATAGCTCTTGCTGGGACATGCTTTTCCTCAAGTGGGGCTGAACCCTGCTTCCCTGTGACCCCTGACTCTGTGCCCTGGCTCTGCCATCATGCTGCAGACTCATCAGCTGCCACAGCCTTACAGAGATTGGGAGGGTGACCAGAGACCCTGTAGGCTGCTCTCTTCTAGGCCAACCCACCCAGCCCTTCCTAGGATTGAGTCTTCCTATCTTGGCCCTGTGGGGGATTCGGAGTACCAGTCACTCTTCCTTATTTGTCAGGGACACAACACTGAGTCCAGCAGGGCCCAGGCCTAAGTCTTCTTGGTTAAACCAAGGAACAGATTCATGTGACTCAGTGGGGATGTGCCGGCTTTGCCAATGCCCTGCCACCAACACTGGCCCCACTCATAGTAGACATGGGCAAGGGCCTCCCTTCTCTGACCCTCACTTTCTTCCTCTGTGAAATTGGGGCCATGATCCCTCTTAGAAAAGGTCACTGGGAGGTTGGGTCTGGGCACTCAGGTGGGACTGAGGTGCACCTCTGTTGCAGGACAGCCCAGAAGCACTGCTGCGTGTCCTACTTGAAGGAGAAGAGCTGCATGGCTGGTGTCATGGGGGCCAAGGAGGGCGAGGCCTGTGGGGTTGAGGACATCGACAACTGTGGCATTTCCCTGTACAAGGCAAGCCTGACCTGTGGCCTTCGTTGCCTGGGTTTGAGGGTCCTTGAGGGCTGAGGGATGGACTCTTATGCAGGGCTCCTCAGTAGGGGTGACCCTCACACCTGGGGGTGGGGGAGTGTCTCTTTATCTGCACAGAAAACATCATCAGTTATTATACTGACCTCTTCACGAAATAGTTACTGAATACCACTGTATACTGGGCCCTGTTTTAGGCATTAGAGATGCAGAAATGAGTAACATATGAAAATCCTTGTCCTCTCAGGGCCTTCATTCTCGTCAGAGAGACAGATGGAGATTGAGATGAATATCTTAATGTATAATATATTAGATATCGATGATGCTGAGGAGGAAAAACTGAAGAGAGGAGGGAGATAAGCTGTGTCAGGATGGGGAAGAGCTAGAGTTTCAGCTAACAGTGGCTGGAGATGGCTTCACCAAGACGGGCACATTTGGAGTAAAACCCTAGAGGAAGATAGTGGTGAGCCATATGGATGTCTGTGGAAAGTATCTTCCAGGTAGAGGGAACACAAGTGCAAAGGTTCTGAAGCAGGCAAATGCTTGGCATGTGTGAGAAGCAGCAGGGAGACCTGTGTGGTTGGAGTGCAGTGAGTGAGGGGGGAGTAGCAGGAACTGGGGCCAGAGAGGTGATGGGGAAAGACCCTGTCCATCATTATAAGGATGGTGGTTTACTCTGAGTGAGGCGAGAAACTTGGAGAATTTGAGGGACATTGCCTGGGTCACTTCTGGCAGTTGTGGAGACCATTCATTGAGGGGGCTCTTCTATGTGGATAATGCAGTCAAGACGGAGTAAAACCTCACCAGGCAGCCATGGGACAGAAAGAAGAGGACAGCTGCCTCGTGTTCTAAAGTGGTCGCTTGAGCTCCAGGCAGCAGGGGAAGGAGGAAGGACCCCCTCACCTTTTAAGTTATCTTTAATTGTGGCAAGTACATATAATGTAAAATGACCATCTTAATTATATTTATTATTTTTTAAATTTTATTTTATTATTAGTTTCAAGTATACAGTACATTGGTTAGACATTTATATAGTTTTTAAAATGATCCCCCTAATTGTTTCTTCTCTTCTCTGGTCTCCACCTAGCCATTATGTTAAAGCTAACTGCCTTCCCTATGCCATGCTCCCCATCCCCATGACCATCTATCAGCTACTAATTTGTACTTCTTTAACCCTTTACCCCATTCTCCCAGCCCCCAACCCTCCTCTTCTCTGACCATCACCCATCACCAGACTGTTTTCTATATTTGTGAGTCTGTTTTTGATTAGTTTGTTCTTTTTGTTCCTTAGATTCAGCATATAAGTGAAATCATTTGGTAATTATCTTTCTCTGTCTGACTTATTTCACTCAGCATAATAACCTCTAGGTCCATCCTTGTCATTGCAAATGGTAGGATTTCATTTTTTTAATGGCCGAGTAATATTCCATTGTATATATGGACCATAACTTCTTTATCCACTTCTGTTGATGGGCACTTAGACTGCTTCCATATCTTGGCTATTGTAAATTGTGCTGCCGTGAACATAGGGGTGCATAGATCTTTACAAATTATTATTTTGATTTTCTTTGGATAAATACCGAGAAGTACAATTGCTGGGTCAAAAGGTATATCCATTTTTAATTTTTTGAGAAATCTCCAGATTGTTTTCCATAGTGGTTGTATTCCCACCAACAGTATATGAGAGTTTAATTATTTTTTAGTGTACAGCTCAGTGGCATTAAATATACTCACATTATTGTGCAACCATTACCACCATTCATCTCCAGAACTCTTTTTTCAGCTTCTCAAACTTCTCAAAGTTTTCCCATCAAACACTTACTTCCTGTTTTCCCCCTTTCCCCCAGCCCCTGGCAACCACCACTCTACTTTGTCTCTATGAATTTGACTACTCTAGGGCCTCATATAAGTGGAATCACACAGTATTTGTATTTTTGTGACTGACTTATTTTACTGAGCGTAATGTCCTCAAGGTTCATTCATATCGTAGCAAGTGCTTGGATTTCCTTCCTTTTTAAAACTGAATAATATTCCATTACACGTATAGAGCATATTTTGTTCATCCATTCATCTGTTGATGGACACTTGGGTTGCTTCTGCGTCTTGGCTGTTATGACTAATGCTCTTGTGAAGAAACCCTCTTTTGAAGACAGACAGTACTTCCACTCATGTCACATTCACCAGGGCTTAGTTCAGTAGCCACACCTAGCTGCAAGGGAGGCCGGGAAATGTAGTCTTTATTCTGGAGAGGTTATGTGCTCCACTGAAAATTGGGAGGAAGGGAAAACAGACACTGGAGATTGACATCTGGCTAGCTATTTGGCAGAAGACGGGGCAAACTAGAGCAGTGGAAGTTTTAGGATGTTTGGAGGAGAAGGGATAGATTGGAAGAAGACACAGTGTCACAAGCCTGGATAACTGTGACAGAGACCTCTGGAGGAGGGTGGCATTTGGGAGTTGATTTTTACTTCAATTTTTGTCATGTTGGGGTTGATTTTTTTCCTAAAAATAACAATTTAAGGAAAGGACTTAGGTGATGGGCAGGTTTAGAATCCCATTTTTATCTGTATGTTTGACCCTGAACCAATCTCCTTTTTTGAGCCTCAGCTTCTCCATCTATAAAATGAGGATAATATATTTCTTATGGGGTGGTTGTGAAGATCAGAGGTAATGCAACCTAAGTATTAATTATATTGTGGGTCTTCAACAGGTGGAAGGGTTCACCACTGGGTGTTGCAGGCCTGGAGTATCAGTTAGAGATTGCTGTGTAACAAACAATCCACAAATATGCTGACTTATGACTGGCCTATCTCATGTGTCAGAGTAGTTTTGCTGACTTGAGCCATGCTCAGCTGATCTTAGCTGCATTCACTTATGTGTCTGCTGCCAGCTGATGGCTCTGCTGGCACTAGATGATTTAGGATGGCTGCAGTGGGATGACTTTTCTCTATGTAATCTCTCAAACTCTAGCAGGCTAGCCTGGGCTTGTTCAGGTAGTAACTGGGCAAGGTTCCAGCACCGGGTAGAAGTACGCAAGGCATTTTGAGACCTGGGCTCAAAAGTGGTACACTGTGACCTCTCTCATCCTGTTGGCCAATTCAAGTCATGAGGTACAACCAAGAGATTGAGAAGTAGTCTCTCTTTTGATAGGAGAAACTGCACTATCAACATTGTAAAGGCAATAGACCCAGAGAAGAGGAAGCAATTATTATTATAATCAATCTACTACAGTATTTGGGGCTGTTATTATAATCAATCTACTACAGTAGTTTAAACAAGTTAAAGATTTTCTTTTTACAGGTAAGTGGTCTGGGACAAGGGTGTATCTACACAGTATCTTCAGGTACCTTGGCTTCTATTTTTCTGCTCTGTCATCTTTAGCCAGAGTTTTCATCTTGAAGGTTACCTCATGTCCCAAGATCGTTGCTAGAGGTCCAGCCATCATACCTGTTCCAAAAAGGAGGAAGAGGTATGCAAAAAGAAAGCACTTCCAGGTTGAGTCAGCCCCAGTTAAAAGTTCTCCTGAAAGCTTCACCCAGTGATTTCTATCTCTAACTATAAGGAACCTTGGAAAATGCTGTCTTTTAGCTGGCCTAAATAGAATTAATTTGCTAGTAAAGAAGTGGTTAGTGGATATGGCTAGGGGTTCATCTGTAGTTCTTTTCACAGGGGCTATTTATTAATTATTTCAAAAAACTTTCATTAGTCCTCCCTGAGCCAGACATTGGAAATGGAGACAGATAATTCCTCTATCCTTGGAGAGCACAGACTGGACAAAAGAAACAAAACAAGATTAATACATTCTCATTTCTCAGCTTCTCCACTGAGCCTGACCTAGGGTGCCTCCTGGGGACCCTCAGTTAGTCACATGAGAAGGCAGATGGGTTCTGAGGAACCAGGATGTGGCAGTGACCACATGTCTCTCTCCAGCAATGCTGTGACTGCTGTGGCCTGGGGCTCCGCGTGCGGGCCGAGGGCCAGTTGTGTGAATCCAACCCCAACCTGGGCTACCCTTGCAACCACGTCATGCTCTCCTGCTGTGAGGGCGAAGACCCCCTCATTGTGCCCGAGATCCGGCAGCCTCCAGAGCCTGAAACCAAACCACAGAAAGGTGGGTACTGCCTCACCCTGGGACAGGGTATATGGGATAGTTGGGTGAGGGACAGAGAGCTGTTGGGGTTTCTAGCCAAAGCTGGATGCTCTCTTACCTTTCGTAAGGACCCTGGGTCCACAGCCATTTGTGGCTTGAGGCACAACTTCTGCTTAGACAGAGTTCTTCGGTGGCCTCTGACAGTGGACTCTGTTATATTATTTCTAAGATGGTGATCTCATTCACTTTTCCAAGTACCATCCATTTCACCCACCAAGCCACCAACTGCTTACTACCTATTACCCTTTTGTTTACCTACACATCCATCCGTCTTCCTCCTACCTACCCACTCTTGTATCCATCCGTCCATCCATCTGTCCATCCATCCATCCATCTATCCATCCTTCATCTGTCCATCTGCTCATGTATTCACCCACCATCCTGGTCAGCAAACCTTTCACTCACCTTTCCTTGTGTTCATTAATCCTTCATCCTTCTCACCTATGCCATTCCTGTGTCTTCTGGGAACAGGATATAACTAGTACAGAGAATGCATTTATAAATGTTGCCTCACCTGCCTGATCAACCCCTTCAGGCTAGCACCATCTATTTTCTCTGTCCCTCTGTCTCTGTCCCTATGCTTGGCCCAGAAGAGTTACTAGCAAATGACTGAATGAATGATGGGTTTGTTTGGTGGCCCCCTTCACCACCAGACCATGAGTTCTTTGAGTGCTTACCAGGCCTATACTCTTTCCGTCTCCATCTCTCTGTCCCCAGGCCACAGGCAGTGTGTGTGTGTGGGACGGGTGGCTCCAGTTGTGTGTGGGGCCTCCAGGTACCAGTGTGAAGCCTGGAGCCTGTGTTTGCTCTTGCCTGAGGGTCAAGAGCCACATCCTGGAGCTTTCATCCCCCAGTGTCCCTGGGATCTCCTCCCTCCCACGCCCTCCATGTGGTGGTCATTGTTCTAGCTGCCATATCTAGCCTCTGTCACCTTAACCAGGGCTATCTCCTGGACTCATGCCATTGCCTTCTATGTGCCTGTGGACCAGCAGGAGCCCAATGAGGGTGTTCCAGCGAGTAAGCTAATGTTTGTACATCTGGGCCTGGTGGCCCTGGAGTTGGTGCCATGAAAGCCCTAGCAGGTCACTTCTGCGAGCATTTGCTCATTTATTAGCCTGACCAACCAGGGACCAAGATGCCCAGGAGAGTTCCAGAACCACCAGCTTTGTTTTTTCTCCAGCTGTGTGGACTATCTGGAGCCTTATGGGCCTGTCCTGGGCACTGCAAGGATTGGGAATGAAAGCCCCAAAGGTTGTCCTAGCATTAAGGTTAACTCTTGGTGTCTGGAGTCCCTCAGACCTGATTGGAATTCCAGCTCCATCATTCTCCTCAGCAAGGCATAGTCATAATTGAAGACTGTCAGACGCGGGATCCTGCTCTTTACCTTACTCAGTGTGAGGATGGATGACAAGATGGATGCTCATCAAAAGCTTACAATGGTTCCTGACAGCACTCAGAGCTGCCACCCTGTTAGTGTTGCCATGTTTTGTGTGTCTGTTTTTTTTGTTTTTTTGTTTTTTACACCTACAGCACCTAGTATTCCTAGGTGGTTTTCCATCCAAGTACTAACCAGGCCCAACCCTGCTTAGCTTCCGAGATCAGATGAGATCGTACGTGTTCAGGGTGGCATGGCCGTAGACTGTTGCCAGAGGGGCAGGGCCTCACCCTAGGTGCACAGCATGCCTTTGGCATTGTTGGGACTAGACTTTTGGCTCTGATGACTCCCATTTTTAACCCAGGCTTTCTGGTATCCTGCACTCAACCAGACCCAACCATCCCTGGGTCTTTGTCTTAGTAATACAGGACAGTGGAGATCTATACATGGGAATTAGAATGCCCACTTCCACAGATTACAGACCCAGGGGCTCCTAGAAGAGCTCACATCCTGTGGGTACAGGTTTCCTGGACATGAGGGTGGGCCCAACAGATACCTGTCTCTCAAGTAGGGTGGGGCAGCAGTAAGTATATGGAGGATGGACCAGGCCAGACCAGGGGAAGCTGACCAGGCCAGCTTGGGCACAGAGACTGTCCAGTCCAAGGAAATGCAACTTGTTGAGCTTGGTTCTAGGAGGCTGGTTGCGTACTGGCGTGAAGGCCAGGTTAGTACCCATAACTGTGGATCAAGATACAATTGGGGAGGAAGTCCGGCTTTAGGGATCAGAGGGTAGGCACAGAGCTGAGAAGGGTCCAGAGATATGTGTTCTTCTCTTTTGATGAAAAACTGGTAGGTAATCTGGGCTTCATGGGACACAGGTGGCAAGTTCAGAGCAACCTGTGTTTCAGTCCTGCTGGGGTGACCTTAGGCAAATCACTAGGTTTCTCTAAATCTCAGAGTCCCCTCTGCTGGGAGAATCATTGTGGGAAATGTTCTGATGAGAGTGTGCTGAGCATGATCCTTAGAGATGCTGCCCAGCCTACAGCATGCCCAACAGAGCCCAGGTCCATCTGCTGCCAGCGTGTAGTGCTGGGTATCCATAAGGCTGGATCACCAGGCATCATTGCACTACCTGTAGGCACCATGCCGGGGCTAACTGGGCTGGAGCTTAATGTAAACACCCTCAATATGAAACATGTTCCTCAGATGTGACCTCATGCAGCTGCTCCTTTGCGGGGCTTGGCTGCCTGGTGCTGGTGGGCAGACCTGAGGCCCCAGGCCAACATGGAGCAGGAAGGGTTGCAAGCCCCTCCCTTTCCCATTACTGTTAGATGAAGAACCTTCCGAGTCAGCTAGACCCTACAAGCCTTCTTTCCTACTCTCATTTGCTCCCCACTGCAACCCAGGAGGCATGGAGAGACCTAGTCCTATCCAAGGTGACACAGCTATGGAAGGCCCAAGTGAGGGTTCAGGTCTTGATCTGATTGAACCCAGGTTTGGGACACTTTCTGTTCCTAGAGGTGGTCCTCCCTGAGGTTACTGAGGTCAGGGGTCTGAATCCAATTCAACACTATAGTCAAAGCTTCCTGAGGGCTGCTGTGGACCTGGCTCTGATGGGTTCACTCTTATTGCTGGGGGTCTGTTCATCTACTCACCTGTTCACTCAATCACCCACCCATCCTTCATCCACCCACCCACCCATTTATGCTATCTCAGCTGGCCACACACATTGTTCTGATGAGAACCTGCACTGACTTTCTGGGGGCCTGAAGTCTCAGCCACTTGCTGGGGCCAACCCAGCTGCCATTACGAGCACTGACCCCTGCTCCAGTTTCAGAGACACAGCTGGGGAGCCGGGAGGCCCTGTCACTGGGCATGGAAGCCGATCTGCCAAACAGCCTGCCTGGTGATGACCAAGATGAGTGCCTGCTCCTCCCAGGGGAGCTGTGCCAGCACCTCTGCATCAACACTGTGGGCTCCTATCGCTGTGCCTGCTTTCCTGGCTTCTCACTGCAGGATGATGGCCGCACCTGTCAACCAGGTAAGGGTCTAGACAGTTGGGGCACGTGCCAGGGCTGACCTTGCCAGCGGTGAGTGGCATGCCTGCAGTGGGGACTATGGGGTACTTCTCCCACCACCCCACACATTGGAACCCGCAGGACCCAGAGGCCCCTGGTGATGGACTATGTGAGGCCAGGCAGATGGGCTCCCTCTTAGAACTCCATCTGCAGGGGCAGCCCCAGTGCCCTGCCCTGGATTTGAGTGAAGGACCAGGATTCAAGCCACAGAGGCTCCCACCAATCCAAGCTGCATCTCCTGGGCTCATGGTGGTTAGGTCCCAATAACTAACCCGAGAGGCTGCTATAGCCCCTGGTCTGGGAGGGCTTTCTCCCTGCCAGTTTCTAGGGAGATTTGTTGTCAGTATAGAAACTCACTCCCCTTCTTCCTTGCTTCCTCTGCCTTGAATATGTGTGAGATCATTCTTGCCCAAGGTATGTTACTTCCTGAGCCTCAGTTTTCTCTCCTGTGAAATGGCTGGGGGAGGATTAAATGAGGCAGTCTCTGTCAGGTGCTGGCCTGGTGCCAGTTAGGGCCTGAGGCCTGGCTGAAGATGTAAGGCAGACTTCCCCTTCCTTTCTGCTCTGCCTGGGACAGATGGTGGCTCCCCACAGCCAGAGGCTGCAGAGGAATCTGCACCGAAGCCAGAATCCTCCCAAGTGGCCCCCAACACCATCCTGCTACCACTGCCGCAACCCAACACCTGCAAAGGTAACCTGGGCCTTGGGGTAGGTCTGGGGTGCTTGTAGGTGGTGAGCTCTCCAGTGCTGGGTGTGCACAAGATGGCCCCTGCCAAAGGGGTGCTTCTGCTTGAGGGAATAGATTGGTCTCACCTGTCTGAACTGAATGTAGCTAAAGAGGTGAGATTGGGGCAAGGGGGAGAGTCAGCCTGGGAGATGAGAGGGAAGGGGATATGAGAATAGAGGACAGCCTGTGGTGATTGTACGTGATCCCACGTAAGCCAGTTAGCTACTTTTTTGGTCTCAGTTCCTATAAAATTGAGAGACTTAAGCCTTTATTTGTAGAACTGTCATGGAGACTTCTATCCAGTAATATGTAGAAAATTCTTTGTTTTTCTGCTCCTCCCTTCTTTCTTGTTCCTTCTCCGCATCCTGTCTTCTCTTTCTCCTTCTCACTTCCATCGCTGTTACTCAAGGGAGGGGTTCAGTATTCAGGTGTTGGTGGTGGCAAGAGAGCTAGAACATTATCCCAGGCACCAGCCCATGTATGAGCTGATTTAACCAGTGAACTTGTAAAAAGGTCCAGGAGTGGGGTTCCTTAGCTCCCAGCCCCTCCATCTGTAGGTTAGAGCTGCAGGTGATGAGTCTGGTGGTCTCTGATTTCTGTGGTTTCCTTCCAGATAATGGGCCCTGCAAGCAGGTGTGCAGTGTCATTGGGGACACAGCCATGTGCTCCTGCTTTCCTGGCTATGCCATCATGGCAGACGGCGTGTCCTGTGAAGGTAAGTGCCACAGGGGCTGCCCTCATACTGGTGCAAACAAGGAGGGCAGGACAAACAGAATGAGGGAGGTGGTCTGAATCTAAAACTCATTGGTGAGAGAACAGGTTTGGCTGCTGTGTTGAAGAGCCTCAAATAGCTTAAGCAGGTATTCCCTGTCATGTCACTATGCACATGTGTGCATGCAGTCCAGGTCGGTCACACAAGTTGGTCAGGGCCCCAGGCCCCTTCTGTTGTATTGTCTGCCATTCCTTAGAGCAGTGCTCCCAAACTCCAGTGTGCAGCAGAGACACTGGGAAGTCTGGTGACAGCTCGGATCCTGAGAATTCTACAGAATCCCCAGAGATCCTGACCCAGTAGATCTGGGGTGGGGCCTGAGAATTTGTATTTCTCACCAGGTCCCTGGACCACACTCCAACTACCCTGTCCTTGAGGGTCACCCTTGCCTGTGTGGCTGAAGCTGTTTCTTACCACATTGACCCTATTCCGGCCATGGGTGGAGAAAGGGAAAG